GAGGAAAGTTCCATTTCACCCTGTTGATGAGTACTGGAAGGTTAGGAAGATCAGAATTAAAAACAGATTCTAGGGTGGCACCTTTGGTTCAAGGAGTAAGGGCCCTGGCCCCATATACCAGAGGTGGCAGGTTCAAACCAGGCCTGGCCAGAAAAAAACAAAAAAACAGATTATCTCTGTTTTGCCTATGGACATTGTCTAACCACCTTATTAAATGAATTAATTTTCATAATACCTGTTGATTAGAATCAAGGTGGGAGGAATGTGTTTATTAAAATGCAGAGTCCTGGGCTATATCCCAGAGCTCTGGAAGTGACATATACTATAGAAGCTATATTATAAACAAGCCCCCCCCACCATGATTCTGATATAGGCAAGAGGCACTGTCCTCTCTCTCTCTCTCTATATATATATATAAAGCAGGATTTGCCTTGTTCTAGGTCACATACTGACCTGATAGTATTTGCCTTCCTGAAATTGTCATTTTTATTAAGAATTTGAGCTACCCAAGCAATAGATTTGTCTCACAAGATCTCTGAGACACTTAAATCCATGAAAACTAATAAAAATAAACATAACCTTATTGGAAAGATATGGCATTTTCTAACAGGAAACGGCCAATGCTCATGAGAGATTGGAAGCAGGAACTAGAAAGCAGGGCCCCTGCTCCTTCTCTGACCTTCTTTTCCCCCCACGCATCTATTTCATTCTTTTTTCCCTGCACATAGTAAAAAAGAACCACTCTAGGAAGATCTGTGGGTGTTGTCTATTCAGGGACCCAGGCCTGACTCCTTGGAGGATCCTAATTCCCAAAATTCTTAGGAGACTCTGATTGGCTCAGCTTAGGTTAGGCATCTACCTCTGATCCAATCAGCTCTGTCCAAGTGTGTCCACTGCCCAGTTAGAAAGTTTTTTTGTTTTTGTTTTTGTTTTTGAGACAGAGTCTCACTATGTTACCCTCGATTGAGTGCTTTGGCATCACAGCTCACAGCAACCTGAAACTCTTGGGCATGGTGGCATCACAGCTCACAGCAACCTGAAACTCTTGGCCTTAAGTGATTCTCTTGCCTCAGCCTTCCAAGTAACTGGGACCACAGGCACCCAGCACAGCACCTGATTATTTTTTTGTTATTGTAGTTGTCATTGTTGTTCGGCAGGCCGTGGACTGGGTTTGAACACGCCAGCCCTAGTGCATGTAGCTGATGCCCTAGCTGCTGAGCTACCAGTTACCAAGACAGAAGGTTCTTCTAATAATAAAGAGTTGGAAGAAGTGAAAGGCACACTTGAATTCATTTCCAGATTAAACTGCAGTCACTTTTGATCATGTAGTCACTCTTATTTTTCCTGATTGTTTTTTAACACACACACATTTTCTCAAACAGGGGTCAGGAAACTACTGGAGCCCAGCCCAATTCTTTTTTTCCTTTTTGTCCCATAGGCACCTGTCCTGTGTGTGCTTTCTTAATACAAAAGCACTTGTTTAATAGTTGATATAATCCTGCAAAGCCTATAATATTTACTGTTTGGCCCTTTACCAAAAAGTTAGCTGACTCCTGCTTTAGAATTCAGTTCAGTTCCGTGTCTTCTAAATTATCAGCAGTGCTTCATGCATGCCACTTCTATTTTTGTCCAACCAGTATAGGGCACATTGCTTAGGGCAGGGCAAAGGAATCTTCACACATCCCTGTTGATTGAGTTAAGAAACTGTACGAATACAACAGTATTTCCTAAGGCACGAAGTGCATAGCATTGACGATTACCGAGATGACTTCAGTTAGGACTTGAGATTTTTTTAGTTAGTATAAAGTCATGATATTAAATAAAATTAAATCCTATGCTAAGGTTATTATCTCTTTAGGTTTTCTTTCAGTCTTTCTAATTACTTGAACAAGAAAATTTCATTTGATGGCAATATGCTCTCTAATGTTTTCTAACATCACTTTTTCTTTTTCTTGTTTTTTTTGGAGACAGAGTCTCACTCTGTTGCCTCAGGCTAGCGTGCCATGGCCTCAGCCTAGCTCTCAGCAACCTCCAACTCCCAGGCTCAAGTGATCTCCCTGCCTCAGCCTCCCAGCTCACTGGGAATACAGGCACCAGCCACAGTGCCCAGATAGTTTTCCTATTTTTAGTAGAGATGGAGTCTCACTCTTGGTTAAACTGGTCTTGAACTCCTGAGCTCAAGCAATCCACCCTCCTCAGCCTCCCAAAGTGCTGGGATTATAGACATGAGGCAGCGCGCCAGCCATAATATCATTTTTTTTCTTTAACAAGGAGAAAATGCAAGGCCTGGCTCAGAACCCTCCACAGCCGTCAGAATCTAGCTAGAATTTACTAGCACTGCTTTGCTTTTATTTATTTTTATGCTTATCTTCCATTTATGACTGGTGATACTGGCTTGCCATTAATAGTGGTGATATAAAGTTTCCTTTTCAAATTTAGTTAAGTAAAAAATATGACTACATTTTTAAAGTGCTAAGCAAATAACAGTTTAGGTGGCAGGAAAAAATGTGAAAAAGGCACATGAATGATTGAAGTTTGGAAAAGCCTGCATACATAACTGACAAAGATACAGAGCCGTCCTGCTGCCTGGAGGAGGGAGTGGCTGATTCTGTCTAAGTGTTTCATGGAGGTTAGAGTAGGAGGTAACATCTGAGCCAAATCTCAAAATTCCTAGGCATGGAGTAAGTGCGGAAGGACGTTGCACGCAGTAGGTCTAGAATATTCAAAGGGAAAGAAAGAACAGGGCATGGTCATGGAATTGTTTGGCTTTCAGGAGCCACTGAAGGAATTTTAGCATTCGAGTAACGTGATCAGATCTGCATTTTTAGAATAGTGGGTAGCTGGGGCAGGTTAATCTTTCTGAGCCTCAGTTTGTTTACCTGTAAAATGGAACAGATGTAGGATATCCATCCTTGTCCCTGGCCCAGGGGGAAATTTCCAGCCATTCTGCCCAATCTGTCTTCCATGCAGAAGGTTAAGATGTCTTGTGTAAGGGCGTCAGCTTTCCAGGTATCCAGGGCTCCTTCCAGCTGCTCCTGGTGGGGGAGGGGAGGAGTTGCAGGCATTCGGGATTGTTAGATGGTGCCTTGACCAGCAGTGATGGGTCCACACGCGAGGACAGCTCACCACTGAACCTCTCCTACTGGACTCTAGGATCCTCTTAGCTGAAGTGTCTTCCTCCCACCTCTGTCCTTCTACTCATTCTCTCTCAGCCAAGTTACCTCTGTGCAAACTCGCTGCACCAGCCTCTCTAGAATCTGAGAGCAGAAAACTCCTGTCTCCATCTGACTGTTTATATCTTAGGACAGTGAATTCCTTGAGTCATTGTTTCTGCCTTGGTGCGGGCCACAGAAGGGAAAAGGGAAATACAGCCAGGGAGAGCACGAGGGGATGGGAAATAAGCTGTAGGCACCCATCCTGACACTCTGAACCCTGCCTTCCCAGGTAAGTTGGTGGGTCTGGTTTAAGGATTGAGGAAATGCCTGGCAGATGGGAGCCACTCAGACTGGCAGCTCTAATTTTTTATTGTCGTGCTGCAGAAAGAGGAGGTTAAGGAAAGTCCTCTTGCTGTGGAACTGCATGTCAGAGGCCCTCTAAGGTGTCCTAAATCCCTGGGTCTGCTTTGCCTCCGGCCACCCTGGCTGCAACGAGAGAGAAGATGATAGGAACTGGAGATGGGGACTTTATGAGTCAGTGAGCTCAGCCTAGAAGCTTCATTACGTGGATATGTGATCTGGAAGCTTCCATGCATGAGTCCAGACAGACCTTTTACTGTTAGGTGGGAGCTGAGCAGAGTGTGCTGAGCTGCCCTCCTGCCACTGAGCTGGTCCTGAGTGTCCTGCCCTGTGGACTCAAGTCTCTGCTGCATCCTCTGGTCCTCTAGCTGAGTCAGGCATGAGCATTTACTTTCCTCAACCACTTAAACTCCTCCAGCTTCTGGAACTGAAGAAGAACACTTAAAGGCAGGAACTGTAGTCAGGTAGACCCGAGTTCAAATCTTAAGCCAGGCCCTACTGAATTTGTACCATGACAGGTTACTTACCTCCTGGGCCTTAGAGTCCTGTAAAATAGGATTTACAATGGCACTTAGTTCCTAGGTGCTATTATGAAAAGTGAATAACTGAAAACCAATCATTATTTAGTCCATTCATAAATGCCCAGATTGATATTATTAATATTATTGCCTGCAAAAATCTGGCACAGGGCATGCAGTAAATCCTTGAATCTGATTGTTTCTTCCTCTGTGACGCCTTCTAAGAAGCCTCCAGACCAGTTGGGTCTCTTTGTAATGTGCTTCTGTCTTATGCTCCTTAAGAGGCTTCTTGACAAAGTAGTGCCTGCTGGTCAATGTTCCCTCCAGTATAGTCATAACCAGTGAAAAGGGGGATGTGTCCATGAGCCACACTGGTTAACTGGCCTGAGTGTGGCCACAACTCACAAAAGGAAGCCCCAAGACAGCAGGGGAGGCTGTTAAAATATTACATTAATCATCCCTGAAATTAATTTCCCAAGCCTTTTGTTCCTCTCTGGAGTTGAAGGTCAAAGAACATGCCTGCTGGTTTATCGCTATATCCCTAGTGTTCAGCAACCTTTTCATGAACATTAAATAATTGAATGGATAAAGGGATAAAGGAAGAAGTGCTCCAAAATTCAGCTTTATCCAGAGTTCACTCACTCCTTCATTCATCAAATATTTATTGAGTATGTACTATGAGCCGGACACTATTGCAGGCTCTTAGATTAGGTGAGTGAACAAAACAGGCAAAGATACTTTGCCCTCATGGGGCTTGCCTTCTATTCATACTGGCTGGGCATTGATGCATATCCCAGAGGGAGCAATACTTGGCTGTCTCACCTGAAACTGTCCTCCTTGATTGGGTTCAACCATCCAAAGTGTGAGGCCAGTGGAAACATCACCTGTTGTTTCAGAGTCCATGGAGGACATCTGTGCAAAGCTGGGAGTGGATCTGAATGAACACCAGCTGCCCTCTCTTTCTTAGGTCATGCTCTCGGAGCGGAAAGGCACAGATGAACTCTACGCCGTGAAGATCCTGAAGAAGGACGTCGTGATCCAAGATGACGACGTGGAGTGCACCATGGTGGAGAAGCGGGTGCTGGCCCTGCCTGGGAAGCCGCCCTTCCTCACCCAGCTCCACTCCTGCTTCCAGACCATGGTAACTTGTCTGGGGACCCTGGGTATTCCATCTCCAAAGCTACTCCAGCAGCCATCACCTCAAAGACATTCTGGGCTCTTCCTATTCTAGAAACAAAGAGATATGGGGCCCAGGGAGGTCAGCTGAAAATTCTGAGGTTGCCACTGAGAAGTGCTCTCCCCTAAGGCAGATGCTGTCTCAACCCAGATAAAGGAACTCAGGCAATTGGTTTTATAACCAACAGATCGAGGCCTTTCTCTGTTAGCAAAGGGTGACATGGGGACAGGAACTCAGTGGCAAGGTCCACACATTGTGCCTCTGGATGGTTTTATTCGGCCCTTTGCATAAATGCTCAGTACATCTCTGCAGGTTGCCTGAGGCCTTCACATGGGTCTCCTGGAGGGTGGGTTGCCTGAGAATACAGCCCTCAGAGCATTTGCAGGGCAGGGGCACTTGTCCTAGAAAAAGGCTAGTGAGCTCAGAGCCATGACTGCCAAGACGAGAAGGGAACATTTGTCCTCTGTCTGTTGCTGACTCTGATTTCAACTCTGTCTTCAAGAGCAAGAGACACCCTTGTAAGTAATCGCTTTACCTTTTCCCTGTTCTAATTAGACGTAGGCCCCCACACCCAAGGCAGGAGAGGCCAGAGCCCAAAGGCAAAGTGGTACAAAGCTAATTCTTGCCTTTAGGGCTTCTCCAGGCCAGTAGCCTAGTGAATTAAAGATGCTTTAAGAGATTTTTCAAGATCAAGTTTTACTCTATCCAGCCTACATGCTGATTTTAGAGCCCATATGTCAGAAGGGACGCTGTTGTACTTTGCCTCGAATGTCATGTGTCTTTAAAATCTTTAATCTTTTACTTTTATCCTTTTCTTTTATGTGCTGGAGAGACTCTGAGATGTTTGTCCCATAGCATTTTCATTGTCTGAGTTGTGCCAGCTGTGTAATCTTGAGCACGTCAGCTTGGTTCCTCTTTCCTCTTATTTCCTGCAAATTGGCAGCTGGATCTGGAGGCTTGGTCAGACTCCACTTCCACCCCTTTGGCAACATTCCATTTCCATCCCTTTGGCAAGACCATAGGTGGTGGTGGTGTGTTCTTTCCGCCGAAGGCACATAATGTCCAGTTGTCTCTCTCAGTAATGTTGGCAGCAACTTATGATTCGTGCCTAGATGCATTAGCTCATTAGAGAGGGTAAGATGGTGGTACCCTAATTCCATCACTTCTTTTTCATAGGCTAGTTGGAATGCTTTTATAAAGAGGGCCCTTCCCTCATCTAGGGTGTAGCTCATATAGGAAAGGCAGGACACATGCTTGGGTCTTTCCCTTAACAGTTTTTCAGATAATGAATTGGTTCATTGTTATGCTCCAAGGGTGCCTGAAGTTTGCTTTTAAAATAGAATTGTTGAATAGAGGAAGAAAATCAATGGAAAGAAAAATTCACATTGTGACGGCACTTGCCAAAGACAAGGAAAGGGGGCCAGCTCGCTGGTCCGACTCTCTAGTTTTCCCTTGGGGAGCTAAGGTCTAAAGGTATTTAAGGGGTAGCAAAGATAGGGCTAGGATTCAAACCTCTAGGCTCCTCCATTCTCTCATCTTCTCCCTCTTCCATTAGTCGTCCCCAGATGGACTCGTTGACACCACCAGACGACAGATAGTGTCATTTTGGTGAATAATCTAAGAAAGACTTTGTTCCCAGGGAAGAGGCTGAGCTAACTTGGAGCAAGCAGCAGTTTCGTTATGTTGGGATTGGGAGAAATTAATCGTGTGTGGCTAATATTCATTGAAGTATAGTATCTTCGTGGGGTACTGTTTTAAGGATGATAAAATAGAGTGGATTTGAGGTTATTCTTGAGCCACATCACTGACCTGCTTTTCAATATGCTTTCTGGATGCAGAAAGTAGGGGTGAGGGGTTTACATGGAAATTGTGTGGCGCTCCGGGTCCTCTGCTGTCACATGCCAGGGAGGACAGATTAAAAGCTGTGAGTGTCTAGAACTCAAGAGCTCACTGGATTCGTGTCTTGCATGGGGGTGAAGGTCCCACGCTGGAGACTGATGCAGAATCTCCCACCCAGCAGGGCCAGGGATGCAACAGATTGTTTCTCATTGGTTGGGGATCAGATGAAGAGTTATCCTGTCTCTGGGGGCTGTATGGCTTAGGAAGATGCACTCACTGCAAGCAAGAGACCCTTGGACGCTGAGTGGGGCCGGCTGAGGGAGAGCAGACACCCCCTCCACCTCACCTGCACCCTGGGCATATGCTCATTGAGTGAAAAGCCCCAATTTAAATTATTTTCTTCTCACCTTTTTTCTTGGCTGAGCACGTATATTTTAATTGTGCATAAATTAAATTTATTTTTAAAGACTTATAATAATGCCTCCTCTATGCGAGGCACAGGACTAATAATTTTAAGCCTCCTGACAACTTAGAAGGGTCTTATCTTCGTCCTGACTTCACAGGCGAGGACTGAGCCCAGGAAGCTGGTACATTTCAGGGCCGGGATTTGAGTCTAAGGGTCTGGCTGGAAGGAGGGGTTGCACTTAGCCACTACATAGTCAGGACTTTTGTGTGTGGATTACCCCACAGCCACTGCACCTGACACCCTTGGGACAGACAGACCTCCACACACACACACACACACCAGCCTGGCTCCAGGCTCCACCAGGGACGTGAGTTTTTAACTTAGCCTTTTTTTTTTTTTTTGAGACAGAACCTCAAGTTGTCACCCTGGGTAGAATGCTGTGGCATCACAGCTCATAGCAACCTCCAACTCCTGGGCTTAAGCCATTCTCTTGCCTCAGCCTCCCAAGTAGCTGGGATTACAGTACCCAATGCCTGGCTATTTTTTGGTTGTAGTTGTCATTGTTGTTTAGCAGGCCTGGGCTGGATTCAAACCCTCCAGCTCTGGTGTATGTGGCTGGCACCTTAGCCGCTTGAGCTACAGGCGCTGAACCAACCTAGTCTTTCTTATCTCTCACCTGCTCAGTGAACCCACATTGTGTCTCTGTCCCTTAACTTCCCCATCTCTATAACACAGTTGAGTTTCCAGCTGAGCAGCTACTAGGCGTAGGGTCTTCAAAAATACTGTTTCATCCCAGCTTCATGAGACTCTTGCAATGTAAGGGATGCTCTGTTGTTTTACTTTGCAAGTGAAAGGTTGAGGGATTAGGGTTGCATAGTAGTTCTCTCTAGACACAGCATTGTAATGGTCACTGGCCCATTGAACTCAGCGCCCAAGCTCTCATTGGCACTTCATGTTGAGTTGCCACCAAAATGGCTTTAATGATAATAACTCAAACAAGCGCCCAAAGCAGCAGCTGACAGAAATGAGTGCTGGAGTATGTGTTGGGTGCTGTACCCAGCATCCCAGCTGTACATCTCATTTTATCTTCCCAACACCTCTATGTGAGCGGTGACCTTCAGAGAAGTTAAGTAACTCCCGCAAAGTCACACAGTTGCTAAGTAGTGGAGCTGAGATTTGTTCTGCAAGACTCTAGAACACCAAACCTGGAAGCTGTTGCTATCCAGCCTGGGCCTTAACTTCACGTTCCTATTTTTAGTGTATAATATATTTTCACTCTCATGATCACATCTAACCTTCACAAGAACACTATAAATAAGGATTACTGCTCACATTTCTGCCCAAAGGACGCAGCCCCCAGAAAGATTAAATGGCTCATGTTACACAGTTGCTAAGTGGCAGCCCCAGGATCTGAGTCCAGGTACCTAAAGGCCTCTTTGGGTGATTTTCCTACGATGGAAAAGTCACCTCACTTACTCCCGAGGGGATAATGCAGTGATTACTAAGACCTTATCCATGGGAGTGAGTATTTAAATTTACAGGGCACTATATGTATGTCACGTGAACCATTGTTAGCATGGCTAAGGAAGGTGACACCGAGGAAGGCCTGGGAGGGGGTCCTCTGGCTCACGATCATCTTCTAGCATCACATAGCCTGGTCCCCAGAGTGGTGCTTCTGAGAAGGCAATGGGGCTGGAACAGGCAGTATCCCGAAAGTCAGAGCATTACAGCTGGTACCCAGAGGGCACTAATGCTTATTGATTATTGCAACATGAACTTATTTGTTGAAATAAACGTCAGGCCGCAGCTGCATAACCATGAGTACGTCAGTGAAAAAGAAATAAGTCCCTGTTCTCTTGGAATTTACATTCTCATGGGGAAGACGGATAAACACAGTATAATAATGACACCAAGTAAAAAGGATAGACATGGATGGATCAGGCCAGAGAGATGCTATTTTTTGATAGGATTGTCAAGGAAGGCTCCTCGGATAAGGAGGACACTTGAGCAGAGACCAGAGCAATTGAGGGAGCAAGGAGTGTGGCAGAGTGCCCCAGACGGTGAGAGGAGCGAGTGTGAGGGCCTGAGGCACAAGCATGCTCAGCATGTTTGGGGAACAGCTCAGGAGGCCGGTGTGGCCCGAGTGGATGGTCATTTTGTATTTTGTGACCCAGAATTCTTTGTGAATCAGCTACCTTTGAAACAAAAGATGACAAATCAAGTATAACACACTGCAGATTTGACGTATTTCTCTTGCTGGAGACTTTGAATTCTGAAGATAAAAGAGCAGTAATAGAATGTTTAAAAATCCTTAAAGTGGTTGAAATACTAGATGAAAGCGAAAGAGCCACCCAGCGATGTACAAAACCATTTTTGTCTTTCTTAAAATGGCACAAACTTGATTTTTAAAAACTTGTTTAGAAAAGCAAAGTTACATCAGAAATAGCCTTATATTGGGGTAAAAAAAAAATCTTTCCAAAATATGCATGGCACAATGTTAACAGAAAAATGTAGGATGCTGAGTCCTATTTAAGATGGTATTCTAAAGGTGTTAAAATTGTGTGCACACACAGAAAAGAGTCAGAAAGGGACGCAGATCAGTCAAAATATTGATTTGATGTAGGGGGGGAATCTGTGGGTCATTGTCTGCTTTTCAAATTTGTATTATTTCAGAAATGCCTTTAATAAAGTTGTTAAAAAAAATTCTTCTGTGCCACAA